AAAGTACCCTGTCTCCACCTTGACTCTCACCATGAATTACATTCCTGGTCTGGAAACGTAATGTAAAAAAAGAGACAAGGGGTCCTGGGTGACGTCATTAACAAAATATGGTTGATCATGACCCTCTTCATGTTGAGCGCATGTGGCCTGGTTTGGTTGGTGCGGGGGCAGCGGGCTTCTCTTCTTTCCTAGCCATCCAGGCTGCATGCTTGTCTAATGCTCTGGTTTCAATGGTGACTTTTTGCTTTTGCTTTTTTGTGTAGTAAGGCCTAATAAAGGATAATGGTCTAGTATAAAGTTGTAGGGGGAACCCCCATAATGCTTTTTTTTTGTGAGGTTGTACAGTCTATACTCAACCATTACCTAGATCTGGTATGGCTGTTGAGGGAAATCATAGTTGTCTTATTTACAAACAGAAGTAGCTGGCAAATATAATTTAGTGGCAAATTGAAAAACATTTTTCTTTGTAAATGTCAATTTTGCTTTAGTACATTGTACATGTCTGCCACTTCATGTGCAGGTTTAAGGCAACCCCAAGCATGTTACACAAATAATTTTTATATTGTTAATGTTTTAATAAACCTGGAGAGCTGTTCCCCAATAGTCATATATTTTTTTCATTGGTACATGTCCTCCAGTACAGTGGCCATCTCAGATGGTCTATGTTTGACAATCTGATTCCTTTTAACCTTGAACATAGCTTTGCTTACAAGCAGAACAAAGCTTGTAGGGAAATGTCATTTAGCTGAAAATGGTCTTTTTCTTTCTAAATGTCAGTTTTGTTTTACTGCCACCTACAGGTGCACCACTTTACAGGCAGGTTTAAGGCATTCCCCCACACATGTTTTTTAACCGCCTTTTGTCTATAGGATGTACCCAAAAATCCTTAAACAGAAAAGGTGATATCTCTGGCAGTAATCCGAAACCAAAGACTACAATGTTTTTAAAAAAGACTAAAAAAATTCTGGATTACTTTTACAAGCAGCGGAAGGGGGTTCCCTCTCCTACCGCCTTTTTTACTGGGCTCTCCCATGTGATCAGGGAGACCAGTGAGGATGCAACTGGCGGCTTTCAACCCCCAGCACACAGTGAGAGGAACAGATGTCATTCCTCCCACTGTGTGACGTTAGAAACCAGAAGCGATGAGGATTTAGTCACTTCCCATTTCAGTCTTCTGTTTACTGGCCATTACCAGTTTGGGAAAGCTTCAGATCAAACCGATCAGAGTTTGATCCAAAGCTTTCAAGGGCAGAGGGGACATCTGGGGTGTAATAGGCATCAGATGTTTCAATAAAGAGGACCTGTCACTGCTTTATAGTTATCGGTTATGTTTACATTCCTTGTGATAGAAATAAAAGTGATAAAAAAAAAATAAAAAGACAGTGTAAAAATTTAAAAAATCAATTAAAATTAATAATTAAATAATTAAAAAATGGAAAGTGTCCCGTCCCACCCTGCTCACACGCAATAGTGAATGCACACATTGCACCACACATGTGAGGTATCACCGCAAATATCAGAGCGAGAGCAATAATTCTAGCACCAGACCTCCTGTTTGATTTTCAATTGGCAACCTGTAAAGGCTTTTAAAATGTCGCCTATTAATATTTTTTTGTACCATAATTTGGCTCCATTCCACGAGTGTGTGCAGTTTTAAAGCGTGACATATTAGATATCTATTTACTTTGTGTAATGTCATCTTTTATATTTCACCACAAATAGGGTATTATACTGTATTTTGTGAATTAAAATTCATTAAAAATTATTTTCCCCCAAAAAAAAACTGCTGCACAAATACTGTGTGACATAATAAAAAAAAAAAAACACCATTTTATTCTCTAGAGCCTGATTAAAAAAAAAAAAAAGATTTATATATAAATATATATATATATATATATATATATATATATATATATATATATATATATAAAAATGTTTGGGGATTCTAAGTAGTCTTCTAGATAAAAATTATGCTTTTTACATGTAGGAGAGGAATGTCAGAATTGGCCTGGAATGGAAGTGGTAAAAGCAATATTGCATTTTTATTGTTTAAATTTAAGCCCTATTAAAATGCAAAATGCAAACATTTTTTTTGCATTGGTATATATCCCCTAGTGCTCTTTGAGAATGCATTGGCTAGCCTTTAAAATGTACATAATTGATTTTCATGATGCACCTCCATTCACTGGGATTCACATTAAAATGAACAATTTCAGAATTTTTGGCCATGTTTTTCAAATGTCCCTACAAATCAAATAAAAACAAGATTTGCCAATCACTATACTTCTATTATGAATTTCACATATAAAGATCAAATATTTGCTAGACGTACACTGCGAAACACCATCTCCTTGGAAACACAACAAAGGAAGTAAATTGTCAGATCAAAAGGTGAATGACCTCTCTAGATTATATTTAGTAATTTAAATATCACAAAATTAATCACTTAGAATTGTTTTTTTTCAGCAGCTAGTTAAGTAAACATTATTACCAGAGTACCAGAGAAAAGGAAAAACGACTGCATGAGCTATGCAAGTTTTTATTCATGTCTGTAAAGGACAGCAATTTCCTTTGCTACAACTCGGCATGTAGGTCTATTATTTCTAAAATAATGGTCAGTTTTCACAACATCATCAGCAACATGTCATACATTACCTGCAGACAAGAAAGCAGAGTAAAATATAAATAGCAAGTTGCTATAGCTACAAATGAAATGATACCGCTTGGATAATTGAGTATGTCCTACAAATATAGTGTCTGAAAAATAAATTCAATTTATTTATTCAAGACTAAATGGATTGTATTGCAGGAAGCAAATGTAATGGACACTGTTATGGTATAAAGAAAAGACCTATAAAACACTATTTGCATTTTTCTGCGTATTACATAGAAAAATATATAATATAATGCAAATGTTACATTTACCATTTATTGTAAAAGGGGACTCAGTAAGGACAGCTTAAAATATAGTTTATATAAATTTTCTAAATGATCCTAAGGATTTGTTTATAATGTGTAAAACGTGTGTGTAACTCGCTGCTTAGCACATGATGTTTCAAGATATACAACTTATATTTATCAGATTGATTAGTAAAACTTAAAAGAAAAGTATTACAGAATTGTGCAAAAGTTTTAGGCATGTGTGAAAAATGCTGTAAATTAAGAATAGCTTTAGAAATATGTGTTAATAGTTTATTAGTTTATTTTTTTTCAATTAACAAATTAACAAAAGAGAAATCCAAATAAAATCAATATTTAGTATGACTATCCTTTGCCTTTAAAACAGAATCAATTTTTCTAGGTACACTTGCACATATTTTTTGAAGGAACTCGGCAAGCAGGTTGTCCCACACATATTTGAGAACTAACCACAGATCTTCTGTGGAAGTAGGATGACTCGAATCCTCCTGTCTCATTATATAATCCCAGACAGTCCCTATAATGTTGAGATTAGTGCTCTATGGGGGCAAAAACATCACTTCCAGGACTTCTTGTTCTCCTTTAAGCCGAAGATAATTCTTAATTACATTAGATGTATTAGATGTATTGACTGTATTGGCTGGGGTCAGAATAAATTTGAGGCTAATCACACATCTCCCTTTTGGTATGGCATGATGGATAAGTATCTGCCTGTATTTTGTGCATAGTTGAGTCGCTTAGCCTTGTTTCCATGTTGGAACTATGGCTTTTAGCCCACCAAGGAGACTACTTTTGGCCAGACTTTTCCAGACAGTAGATGGGTGTACCTGGTTGCCTCTGGTTTCCATCAGTTCTGTGCTGATAGCACTGCTGGACATCTTCTGATGTTGAAGAGAAGTAAGCATGGTGCCTTTAATCTGCTGCCTTACGTTTTCTTGGCTGACCACTGCATGTAGGGTTCTTGTTTCTTTGTGCTTCTTCAAAAGAGCTTAAAAAGAAACCCAGTCTGTGAAATCTTTGCCTGGGAGAGACCTTACTGATGAAGTATAACTACCTTATGTCTTCTTGCTCTTCTCAGTCTTGCCATGGTGTATGACCTGTGACATGAAACTGTCTACAACAATCTCACCTTAGTAGCAGAGTTTGGCTGTTTCTCACCCAGTTTTAAGCCTCCTACACAGCTGTTTCTTTTTCAGTTAACAACTGTGTTTCAACCTACATACTGGTAAAATTGATCAGTAGCACCTGCTAGGCATAAATGGTTAATCATACACCTGACTTTGTGCAAGTGTACAAAGTGTGCAAATGTAATATCGTATTTTTCGCTCCATAAGACACACCTGACCATAAGACGCGTCTAGAAAAACAAGAAAAAGAATATTCTGAACCAATGGACTGCAGACACAGTACAGGAGATGACCAGAGACTGAGGACATAGTACAGGAGATGACCAGAGACTGCAGACATAGTACAGGAGATGACCAGAGACTGCGGACATAGTACAGGAGATGACCAGAGACTGCGGATATAGTACAGGAGATGACCAGAGGCTGCGGACATAGTACAGGAGATGACCAGAGACTCCAAACAGTACAAGGGATGACCAAGAGACTGCAGACAGTACAGGGATGACCAAAGACTGCAGACAGTACAGGAGATGACCAGAGACTGCAGAGAATACAGGAGATGACCAGAGACTGCGGACATAGTACAGGAGATGACCAGAGACTGCGGACACAGTACAGGAGATGACCAGAGACTGTGGACATAGTACAGGAGATGACCAGAGACTACGGACATAGTACAGGAGATGACCAGAGACTGCAGACATAGTACAGGAGATGACCAGAGACTGCGGACATAGTACAGGAGATGACCAGAGACTGCGGACATAGTACAGGAGATGACCAGAGACTGCGGACATAGTACAGGAGATGACCAGAGACTGCGGACACAGTACAGGAGATGACCAGAGACTGCAGAGAATACAGGAGATGACCAGAGACTGCGGACATAGTACAGGAAATGACCAGAGACTGCGGACATAGTACAGGAGATGACCAGAGACTGCGGACATAGTACAGGAGATGACCAGAGACTGCGGACATAGTACAGGAGATGACCAGAGACTGCAGAGAATACAGGAGATGACCAGAGACTGCGGACATAGTACAAGAGATGACCAGAGACTGCGGACATAGTACAGGAGATGACCAGACACTGCAGAGAATACAGGAGATGACCAGAGACTGCGGACATAGTACAGGAGATGACCAGAGACTACGGACATAGTACAGGAGATGACCAGAGACTGCGGACATAGTACAGGAGATGACCAGAGACTGCGGACATAGTACAGGAGATGACCAGAGACTGCGGACATAGTACAGGAAATGACCAGAGACTGCGGACATAGTACAGGAGATGACCAGAGACTGCGGACATAGTACAGGAGATGACCAGAGACTGCAGACAGTACAGGGGATGACTAGAGACTGCAGACAGTACAGGGATGACCGGAGACTGTGGACCTTTGGGGAGGGAGGGGGAGCAGGTACCTGAATTTGACAGGTACCCGCTCCCACTTCCGTGGAGTTGTCCTCCCTTTAGTGCGGGCACCCGGCTGTGCCGGACCTGTCATGTGTCCCAGAAGACACCAGACCATTCACAAAGCGCAGCGCTTCTCGCGCATGCGCAGTGGACACCCGGCTGTCACAGTCGGGTGCCCACACTAAAGTTGTCGGCACGGGAAAACTGAACAGCGCTGGTCCGAGGAACAGGTAAGGTCCTGCTGCAGAGAAGAGCTGAGCGGCCGGCCCAGTATTCTGACACAGCAGCGGCGGAAATACTGGACCGGCCACTCCATATTCGCTCCAATTTCCCCCCTTTTTTGGGGGAAAAAAGTGTGTCTTATGGAGCGAACAATAAAGTAATTTATACTGGTTTGAAGCCAGGGGTAGTCACACCAATTATCGATTAGATGTAGATTTTTCTTCTGTTTGCTTTTTTTTTTTAAGGCATTCTTATCTTAAAGCATTTCTTCACACCTGTAAGAAAACATATTTTAAAAAGAAGGTTCTGGCCCTTTAAATCTACGTGCAAAAATGTAATATACTGTACCTAGATATCAAAACATAGATGATTCCACATAATAATACATCCAAAAATAATTATTCAAATCTCCACATCAAATAAAGGGAGTCCTAAATTACCAATATCTTGTGAAAAGAAAAGTGACAGAAGTAACCAATTCCTCAAAATGAACCAAATCTACCGTGTGATCAGCTGAATTGCCAACTCACCAAATCAAAGTGGCCACAAAGCAGCCAACAAGCAATATGGATGAAGTCCTGTGTCTAAGTGATTATCTCTACTCCATAGGATATCTGTCAAACACCACATGGTGGTACCTCTAGCAATCCACAGGAAAGGATTCCCCAGAGCGTGGAGTCTAAGTCCCAGTCTGCTTGTTCACCAGGGCCCCTGATGGTGGGGATGGACTTGGAGCAGACAGTGACCAGGTCACGGCCCCCTTAGTACACCCTCCTGTGGTAGAGGGATCCGCCAGAGGTATACACTGCTAGAGAGCCTGACGTGAAGAGGCAGATAGGCCTGAGCAGTGGTGACTGGATCCATGCAGGATGGATGGATGGATGGCAGGGTAGTAAGCGTGGTCAGACAGGCTGGGTCGGTAACAGTGGGGTCAGCACGGTACAAAGCAGCAGGCAAAAAGTAGTCAGGTCATTCGCCGGGTTCGGTAACAGGAGTTCAGATCAATAGGGATATCCAGGAGAGTAGTCAAACGAGCCAGGGATCAGAGCAGGAGATAGTCAGCAAAGGTCAGGATCAAGCAGGGTCGGCAACAAATCAATCCACAGGTACGCAGGAGCAGGAACAGGGTAATAAGACCATACGGCAACTAGTGTCTGTACAGTGCAGGTTATATAGTGCACCCTGCACTGTCATTGGTGCCAGGTGCACTTCCGCGATCGCGAGTGTGCATGCGCGGCTGCCGCCGCAGCTGCCTAGGTCCTAGCGCCTGCTGATTAGAGCACATTGGCGTTCTGCGCATGCGCAGACCTGTGCGCCGTGGTGATTGCTGACAATATCAAGACCACTCAGCTCTTGAATGTCATAAATAGAAGATCCTCATAAGCCCAAAGATAAATAAGGAAAACGCCCAAAGACAATATAACATAGTGCAGTAATTTTATTTAAAATTGGGAGAATAAAAAGCAAAGATCGCTATGAAATTCTAATGATATAGGTGCCAAAGGGTACCTACAGGAAGAGCTCACAAGGAGGATCCTTTCCCTCACACTGCCGCTCAGAGGTCCAGAGCCAGCATACATTCCATAGACTGGATATGATGTAGTGGCAGAGACCAGTAATGACATCGGCGACTCACGCCCATTTGGTTCATTTGAAGAAATATTGGTCAATTTTGTAAGTTTTCTTTTCACACAAGATATTCTTATAGATTATAAGTATTGGATACATGAAGGGGAAGCTGCCTTGATTTATTTTCATCACATTACACTCGTGACACTGCTACATCTATTTTCTTTAATTTCTACACATATATAAGTTCATTTCAGGTTAGCACCTCCACATTTTAGATTTCTTCACACCTGCCCAAAACGTTTGCACAGTAGCATATTTTATTTAAAATTATATACTAGATGTCTTCCACATACCAGAAAAAAAAACATAAGGGTTTATTTACTAAAGATGGAGAGTGCAAAAGCAGGCTTACTTCTGCATAGAAACCAACCAGCTTCCAGGTTTTATTGCCAAAGTTTAATTGAACAGGCTAAGGTTAGAAGCTGATTGGTTTCTATTCAGAAGTTCCCCTGATTTTGCACTCTAAGTAATAAACCCCATAGTGTAAATTACTATGTGGCAGTGCATCTGTTACAGCTCAAGTCCTAAGTAATTTGCTGTTCCAGCTGTGCTACTAAGTCAGGGAATATGTTTGCATCTTGTGATTATTTTGCAGATGTTGGGTGCAAATTGGTAATACACACCTTACTATATAGTGCCAAAGTTGCCTCATGAATGTTGGACAAATATTTGCCTAATATTTCTGAAGGTATTGGCAAGTAAATCTTTTATAAAAATATGCCCCATTACTGATGGTCATCACTGTCATCCTCTCCTTTATTTCATCTACCACTGTAACAGCTTCAGTACTGTGAATGAGAAGTGCAAACAGAATATATAAATAAAAACATCAGTGCAGAAGGATTAGTATTCCTAACCAGTTTAACCTGATATATTTGTTGCATGAATACACAGAAATGCCTTTCGCATTGTGCTTCTTCATAAAAATCAGTTATTCTACAAAAAAATTGTCACTGTAATAGTGGAGAGGTCAGCTTTACATGAGCAGAAATACAGTTAACCTTAAAAATGAAAAATTAACAGGAATTTAAGAATTCATTGAAAAGATATCCTGTAGATATGTCATACAGTAAATGAGACACGGGGTTAATTTACAAAAAGGCTATTCACTTTGCAAGGGATGTTGCAAATTTACCCTTGAGCTTAATGAACTTCGTAAAATTTTGCACCACTAGGAATGGGCTCATATAGTACACTGAAGAGTGCCCCACTACAGCCAGCACCTGCTTGACACCAGATTGTAGACCGAGATTAAATATATCAAGGCCAATCATTTAAATGAACCCCATAAGGCCTCAACAAAATACTGTTATCTTCCTTTAAGACTCTTGTGGGGAACAACGTTACCACTAATCCTCTGGACAAATTTGGAAATGTGGGCATTAACCTTGTGGTGAAACCACTACAAGCAAGAACCAGAAATAAGAACAAAGCATGTGATTGGCCAAGGGACAATATTGGACCAAATAAGAGATTGGTAAAAGTGGAACAACATTGAACAATAACACGCTTAATGGAGATTGATTCTACAGACCGGTAATGCCCTACAATACTGCCCCATGCATGTGTCAGGGCAGGAGCTTTGGAATGGACAGGCAGGCCTAATGGCAGGGTCATGCACTGAATGATGACAACCACCACCCACAGACCGGAGTCCCTCAGGGCGCGGAGTCTAAGCCCCAGGCTGCCCTTCACCAGGGCACCTGATAGTGGGGATGGACTTGACGCAGCCAGGGACCAGGTCGCGGCCCCCGAGAAACCCCAGCTGTGGTAATGGCCGCCGCCAATGGCATATAGCTGGTAGGAACCAGATAAGAATGATAGTGTAGTCGGACAGGCCGGGTCGATAACAGTGGGACAGACAGTACAGAACGGTAGACAAGAATACACAGGTCACAAGCCGGGTTCAGCAACGGGAGGTCAGATAAAGGGATAAGGCTGAGAATAGTTTTAGACAAAGCAGTCAGTTTCCAGGAGAGCCACGAGAGTAGAACAAGAGCTTGCAACAACACTATCATACAGGACACGATTGCAAAGAGCAAGTGCAGGCAACAGGCTTAAATGTGATCAACCACGCCCCACTGGGGGATGGACCGCAGAGGCCTGAAAGCATAAAAGGCTCCCACCATGCTTTGCAGAAACCCAAGATGGATGCCAGCACATGGAGCAGCATAACCTCTGGGAAAAGGTAAGGCCTTGACAGCATGATCGATAAGAATGAAGGGACCTAAAACAAATATCTGAGGTGGAACAGCTCAGGTAATACCAGGACCCAGAGGAGGCCATGAGAACTGCGACAACAAATTCTGACAACTGCAATTAAAAATCCAAAGTTTTCCCCACAGTGTCAAAATATGGCATGACAAGAGGTTCAATAAACAAAGGAGTCACTGATGATCAAAGTAATGTGCGAGGAACTTGAAATGAGAACAAAAAGTGAGGCGGTGAGGACAAGCATACAGCAAAAAATTAGATGATTCCATCTACCAAAATGTAATATCTCTCCTCTGAAAAAACCCATCCCGTGGGCAGCAATGCCTGTGCATAATGTGGAAAGAGTATGTGGGAAAAAATCAGATGGAGGCAAGACAAGCTGAGAAAGAAGGTGGAAGACCTATGAATATTGGAATTTGCTGAGATTGGAAGAATCAGTGTGAACCAGGAAAAAAACAATAGAAGGAGGGAGAATGGCAGGAAAATTGGAAGCCAAGCACACCAGGCAAAAAAAAAACTGTTGTGGTGGTGGTGAAAGGGCCATAAGCATTCAGAATCATTTGCTTCCCTTTTGACAACCTGTCATATTCAGAGGAACACAACAGGATGAAAACAAAGGATTCTGATCAGTACATCCTCTGCCGAATTACCACCAACTGAGCATTTGTCCTCAGCAACATCTACAACAACAGCAACACTAATCCTAAAGGTGCCAAAAATGCCCAAGAAAAGGCAACTCGGTACAAGAGAGCCCTAAATGCATAAACAGATTGAGGGCAAATGGAGAGAATGCCAGTTAAGATGTGCCGAGAACTAGGGAAGCAAGTCAGATTTTTCCAACCCTTCAAAACCCTCTGAATAAGAAAACCCTGAAGACCTCCGCCCAGCTGAATAGTCTGAACCAAACCAATACAATAGGGGGCGTGGTCTGCCGAGATCCAAGATGGCCACGTGACATGGGAGCTCCTGCCAGCCAGAGATCTTGCATCGATATTAGCGGAGGAGCAGGTGAGACAGAGCCATTACATGATAGGGAACGCGGACCAGAAGGTCTCCGGCTTCCTGTTCCCGCTCCCCACGGGCACACAACCCCCAGCAGTCCAGACATATTCAGGAGCTGTTCAGCTCCCAGCAGAGGGACAGGCCACATGCAGCATCCCCCTCTCCCTCCCCTCCTCCCTCCACTACAGCAACATGTGCTCAGGGTGTACAGAGCACAGACACTGGGGCTGGCATGGAATCTGTCCCACAGCATGATCTCTCTTCAGACACTCATACACTTTCTTTAAGAGATCTGCAGGCAGTTGCAGCTGACATTAAAGCTACTTTTACCACAGCCCTCAGTGACCTAAGGGAAGACCTTCATTTGTTAAGCACAAGAATAGAGGAGGTGGAATTCACAAGCAGATCTAATGCTGGTGCCATAGTGGAGATACAGCAGTTGTATCGCACACATCTCATATTCGTGATTTTTATAGACAGATTGAAGATCTGGATAATAGAGGTCGCAGACATAATATCAGATTGCGTGGCTTGCCTGAATCTGCGGAGCCAAGTGACATCCCCAAAACAGTAATTGCGATCTTCAATGATATGCTGGGCCGTCCCACCTGCTGCACCCATTGATCTGGAACGTGCACACAGAGCGCTTCGCTCCAGAGGCAGAGATTCTGACCCCCCAAGAGATGTGGTGTGTTGCTTGGTCAGCTTTCCAATCAAAGAAGACATTCTCAGAAGGGCCAGAGAAAGAAGACGCCTTTTATTTCAGGGTAATGAGATACACCTGTTCCAGGACCTCTCTTCCATAACCTTGCAACAAAGGCGAGAACTTCACCCCCTGCTGGACACACTTCACTCTCATAACATACCATACAGGTGGTGATTTTCATTCTGTCTCTCCGCTCAAGCTCAGGGGCGTAGAGCCTACCTGCAAGTTCTAGAGGATCTCCCCAGCTTCTGTTCTGCACTGGACATTCCTCTAGTTGAGCTTCCAGAGTTTGGTACAGATATTTGCGTCTTCCAAATGCTACTGAATCTGGTCGAGTACCAAGTGACACGGATTGGCAAGGCCCTCATCTCCACCACCGCCGATCGGTCCCTTCCACTCCTCCGAGACTTCCTGCCACTGGCTCCACCACCAACAACAGCCCGACGGCCTCTCCTGCACATCGCAGACCCCGCCATGATGCCTAAAGGCCTTTCTTCATTTTTTTTCCCTGACTTTCTCTCATCAGCAATTGTCAGGAATGGACTGGCCAGCAATAGTGGGACTCACCTGCCTTATGAGCTGCAGTACCAGGGCTGGCCAGTGGGTGCTCCCAGCAATCAGAGACTCAACCTTGCAGCCAGTCAAACACCTGGAACTAATTATACTGGTGTATTTAAGGGATGGCCAGACCTGCAGACTCTGGCTTGGTGTATGTTTTTCCTGGGCCCTGTATCCTGTTCCTGCTTCCTGTTTCTGTTCCTGTTCCTATTCCTTTTCCTGTCTTGTTGCTGACCCAGTCTGATCTATACCTCTGCTGACTTCTCCTGCTCTGACCCCGGCTCGTTCCTGACCATCCCTCTGCCTGACCCTCTGTACCACGCTGCCCGCTACCTGCTGACCCTGGCTTGTGACCCCGACCATTCTCCGCTTGCTCCCCCTGTACCTACCTGCCCGATTGATATTGACCCGGCCTGCCTGACGACGCTCGCATTGTTTATACTGTTATCTGTGGGTGGTTGGTTGAGTTTGTTTGCACTGTATTATGTTTAGTATTGCACTGCGTTTATGTTTGTATTGTTAGTGTTAATAAATCGTATTGTTTATAACATATCTGAAGTCTGCGTTTCCCTGCGTCAGTCAAACACCTCTGGTCATACCCGGGAGCCCTGACATTACACCAAGGCCAATCCTGACCAGAAGTGGCTGCACAGGGAAGCCATCTTGGTTTGTTGATGGGAAGGATGGATCTGGATGAGGTTGCGTATTTATATCTGCAACTGTTTGATGACAGGGAGTATGCTTATCAAAACTCTGAAGGAGTATACCCGGGATGAACTGCTAGAATGTATACGGCTCGCTCATGTTCTAGTAGATCAGGGCACAGAATTCTCTGAGGTGCAGCCATTGATTGAGGTTTGTGCTGAGTTGGTTTCATCTGGTACCCCCGAATGCAGGGATGAATTTTTGCCACCATTTAGTGCAGACCAGGTAGAGTCCCTGGTGTGGTTATTAGAGGATGATGTGGGTTACTTTCTGGAGCGTTATTCCACATGTTCACCACAGGTACTAAGAGATTGTATAAACGCAGTGCAGTCTTTGGTCAGACAGGCTTTGTGTAAGCTGAGCTTTGTTCAACCCATACTGCAGACATGGACAGATTTGTTACAGCCAGCCTCAGTCAGCTTACAAAGACCCAGTCCTGCTGCTAATCTATTTCCTCAAAGCTCTACTCCTGTATTCCCAACAGCTCCTCCAGTTACAGCCCAGTATACTTGGCTATCTACCGCATGTCAGTACCCTGTTCCCACTCGCTGCACCTATCCTGCCTTTAACCCTGTAAAAAAGCCCTCTGTAGCGACTGTTCCTTCCCCTGTTCCATCCTCCAGCTCTTCCCTGTCTCCAGCTGCTCCATTCATTTGCAGACCTGCGTTTACTTGCAGTGCTCCAGTAGTTAAAACCAGAAAAAAGCGAAAATTCTTTCCAACCAATACCATCCTGCCAGTATCCAAACCGGTCAGCCTGCCGTCCGAGAACCTGCCTTCCGTGGTTCAGCCTGATGCCTCTCTTCAGCCTGATGCCTCTACTCAGCCTGAAGCCTCTACTCAGCCTGAAGCCTCTACTCAGCCTGAAGCCTCTACTCAGCCGGATGCCTCTACTCAGCCGGATGCTTCTACTCAGCCGGATGCTTCTACCAGCATAATGAACTGATCCAGCCTGATGATCCTATTAGCCAATTGACTCAGTGCCCGCTGTCGTACCTGTTGACTCGGTGCCCACTGCCTTGCCAGATGACGCGGTGCCCGCTGGCGAGCCAAATGACCTGATGCCTGGTGACCCAGTGCCCGCTGTCATACCTGGTGACCCGATGCCCGCTGTCGAGCCAGACGATGCAATGCCAGACGACTCGGTGCCCGCAGTCTTGCCAGACGACTCGGTGCCCGCAGTCTTGCCAGACGACTCGGTGCCCGCAGTCTTGCCAGACGACTCGGTGCCCGCAGTCTTGCCAGACGACTCGGTGCCCGCTGTTCCGCCAGTTGACTCGATGCCCGCTGTTCCGCCAGACGACTCGGTGCCCGCAGTCTTGCCAGACGACTCGGTGCCCGCAGTCTTGCCAGACGACTCGGTGCCCACAGTCTTGCCAGACGACTCGGTGCCCGCCGTCTTGCCAGACGACTCGGTGCCTGCCGTCTTGCCAGACGACTTGGTGCCCGCAGTCTTGCCAGATGACTCGGTGCCCGCAGTCCTGCCAGATGACTCGAAGCCCGCTGTTCCGCCAGTTGGCTCGGTGCCCGCAGTCTTGCCAGTTGACTCGGTGCCCGCAGTCTTGCCAGTTGACTCGGAGCCCACTGTCGTGCCTGGTGACTCGGTGCCCGCCGCTCCGCCTGGGGGCCCGAGACCTGTCGCTCCGCCTGGGGGTCTGGCGCCCGCCGCTCCGCCTGGGGGTCCGGCGCCCGCCGCTCCGCCTGGGGGCCTGAGACCCGCCGCTCCGCTTGAGGGCCCGAGACCCATCACTCCACCTGGGGGTCCGGCGCCTGCCGCTCCGCCTGGGGGCCCGAGACCCGTCGCTCCACCTGGGGGTCCGGCGGCCGCCGCTCCGCCTGGGGGCCCGAGACCTGTCGCTCAACCTGGGGGTCCGGCGCTCGCCGCTCCGCCTGAGGGCCCGAGACCTGTCGCTCCACCTAGGGGTCCGGCGCCCGCCGCTCCGCCTGAGGGCCAGAGACCTGTCGCTCCACCTGGGGGTCCGGCGCCTGCTGCTCCGCCTGGTGGCCCGCTGCCTGCTGCTTTACCTGGTAATCCGATGTGCCTCTGCCCGGAGTCCAGCCCGATGTGCCTCTGCCCGGAGTCCAGCCCGATGTGCCTCTGCCCGGAGTCCAGCCCGATGTGCCTCTGCCCGGAGTCCAGCCCGATGTGCCTCTGCCCGGAGTCCAGCCCGATGTGCCTCTGCCCGGAGTGCCTCTGCCCGGTGTGCCGCTGCCCGGAGTCCTGCCCGGTGTGCCAGTCTTTGATATCCCGCCAGTTACCAGACCCGGGCAGTGGAACATTTTGCCCAGCTAGGACTGTTTGGAGCGTCCTGAGACCGCTCCTTGAGGGGGGGGTACTGTCAGGAATGGACTGTGGCCAGCAATAGTGGGACTCACTTGCCTTATGAGCTGCAGTACCAGGGCTGGCCAGCGGGTGCTCCCAGCAATCAGAGACTCAACCTTGCAGCCAGTCAAACACCTGGAACTAATTATACTGGTGGTATTTAAGGGATGGGCCAGACCTGCAGACTCTGGCTTGGTGTATGTTTTTCTTGGGCCCTGTATCCTATTCCTGCTCCTGTTTCTGTTCCTGTTCCTATTCCTGTTCCTGTCTTGTTGCTGACCCAGCCTGATCTATACCTCTGCTGACTTCTCCTGCTCTGACCCCGGCTCGTTCCTGACCATCCCTCTGCCTGACCCTCTGTACCACGCTGCCCGCTACCTGATGACCCTGGCTTGTGACCCCGACCATTCTCCGCTTGCTCCCCTTGTACCTACCTGCCCGATTAATATTGACCCGGCCTGCCTGACGACACTCGCATTGTTTGTACTGTTATCTGTGGGTGGTTGGTTGAGTTTGTTTGCACTGTATTATGTTTAGTATTGCACTGCGTTTATGTTTGTATTGTTAGTGTTAATAAATCGTATTGTTTATAACATATCTGAAGTCTGCGTTTCCCTGCGTCAGTCACACACCTCTGGTCATACCCGGGAGCCCTGACAGCAATACTTATCCAGATTATGATCTTACCAGATCCCTCCCATCCAACTCCAGGACCATGCAGGTAGCACCTTGGGTCCTATTTGGCCCTGTAACTGGACACCTTCACCCTTTCATTTTCTGCTCTCTAACCCATCTACCCTGGTCCAGGTCTTTTGATTCCCCTGCAGATGTTGCCAGATTCACCTCATCGATCATGAAGACCTTTTCCCTCCCTGTCTCAGCTTCTCCAATGGACCACCAGTCCTGATGTACCTCCGCAGGCATCCTCCATGTCACCGGCCTTTTTATTGCTGCATTTTCACTACCTTTGATGGAAGCCTGGGGGATGGTTCTACAGTCTCTCTCTAGCCCTGTTTGTAATGTACAGTATATGCTGATTTGTCCGCTGCATAGAGTCTCTGGAGAGTATGGATCTCCAGACCCTCTATGCCCGACCCCTGTTTGGTTGTATGGCCTCCCAGGGGTCTTTTGATGATCTTGCAGTGGTCAGAGGTGAATTCCATGCCCTCCATTATATATTGTTTGTATTTCCCTGACCATGATCCCTACTGTTCTTCATTAGAGTTTACTGTGAGAGGCTTCGTACTCCAGCTCGCCTTTATACCTTTTCCAGGGGTGGCGTGGGATGGCGGGGAGAGACTGGGTTGGGGGGAGGTGGGGATCCGGGACCCGGGCTGTCATTTCCATACTATTATTATGTTATTATGATACATATCTGTCTAAAATCAAGTATATCACCTCAATACACTCTCCAGGTGTTGTTCCCTGCGGGGTCCGGCCCCTCCTTCACCTCATGTCATAACACCCATCTAAACCACATTAACTGCTTACAGGTTTTGAAAACATCATTCAGAGTTTTTGCTGAGCTCCCCCCCAGTTCCGTCCTCTCCCCTCTCCCCTTGCCTAGCTACCGCTATTTTTTCTTTTTAGACACGAGGTGCTACCTGATATTTAGAATGTCATGGAGTCCTGCGGGAGTGGGGTGGGAGATGGATGGTTTGAGTTTTTGAGAGGGAGCCGGGAAGAGAAGAGTTAGGACAGATGAGAGATACCTTAGGGTTCCAAAAAGAAATGGTGCACTATGTCTTATTTTTCCAATTGTTTCCTTTGATGGTTGCTTTTTTTTTTTGAATGGTTGCCCTGCTGTTTCTGTGATGTTGCAATGTTTTTGCCCTAAACAGAATATGATACGATTTGCTTTTCATCTTAATGATATGCAGGTTTTCCATCTGGCTTTCCCTGATGTTTTATATTCAGCATGGACTCGCACACTGGCCCTTCCACGGCACCTACGATACCACAACTCTGCCCATAACTTTGCCATGGATCATGCCATGACTGCATTCCACTTAGATGTGCATTTTCTCATTTCCCTACATACAATGCTTCCACCACTACATTTATTAAATTTTCCTTCTGATATCCCTAAGCTTGTTGCTGCGTCTTACCTCACCCATTATGTCGGACGATGGCAGTTGTGCCCCCCACAACCTCTTTTCTCTCTCTTCCCCATACCCCCTTTCCCATCCCTTTAGGTTCCGGATATGCCTTCTCTCAACTCTCTGTCAGGACATCTTTCGCTGAAAGTTATGTCTATTAATGTGAAGGGTCTGAATACCCCTGAAAAGCGCTCTCTCCTGCTTTCAAACCTTTTTAAACAGAGAGCGGATATTGTCTTTCGTCAGGAAACGCACTTCCGTCACGATGCCATACCCAAGCTTATAAACTCCCATTTTCCGTCAATTTATCATGCTCCTAACCCTCATGCTAAATCTAAAGGCGTTTCCATTTTGATTGCAAAGCAATCCGGATGGTAGATTCCTGTTTCTAAAAGGTAATTTTGCCATTAGGCCCATCACTTTAGCAAATCTTTACGAACCCAACACTAGACAGGTATCCTTTTTCCGCTCCATTACCTCTTCACTCTCCTCCTTCCAGACGGGTATCCTAATCTTGGGAGGTGATCTTAACGTTCCCCTATGCCCTTTATTGGACTCTTCCTCAGGAAGCTCTTTCTTGCCATATACATCCATTAGACAGATTCACACTCAGCTTCAAGATCTGCAACTTCACGACTCTTGGCGAGTCCTCCACCCGAATGTCAAAGACTATACATTTTTCTCCATCCACACAACAAATATTCCAGAATCGATTACCTCTTTATCATGCAAGCTGACCCCTCTTTCCTCCATGATTCTTCTATCGAACCGATGATCCTCTCTGATCATCACCCTATCACTATGACATTACGATTTCCGGACAAACATTCCCGTTTTAAGATATGGCGTTTGGATGCCTCTCTTCTTTCTGACTTGGCCAATGAAGCAGAGGTTCGCTCCCAATTAACGGACTACTTTTCGAACAATCAAACTCCAGTTACCTCTTTGTTAACTCAATGGGATGCACATAAATGCATCATTCGAGGAGTCCTAATAGCTATGGCCACAAAACGTAAAAAAGAGAGACAGACTCCTTACAACAACTCTTAGATCGCATTAAATTCCTGGAAAAGGCGCACAAACATAATCAGACTGCCTCGATTTTATATGATCTTACAGACACCCGCACACAGCTCTTAAACGAACTAGGCAAGGCAGCTAAGCGCAGATTCATTTTGTCGCAAAAAGTTTTTTATGAGTTTGCTAACAAAAGCGGGAGATTCTTAGCCAGATCCCTCCAGACAAAAAAGTTGAGTTCACAAGATTAGGGGCTTGGATGGCTCTTTGGCCACCTCAAATGCGGATATAGGATCACACTTCGAGCAATACTACAAAACATTATACAATCCCCCTCTAGAACGTCGCCCTTCTGAGGCCAATAAGCCTAGAGACACCCTAATCTCTGACTTTCTTCGCCTCTATAGTCCTTCCACTGTACCTGATGATACTGTTCAGGATTTGGAACATCATTTATGATTTGCTATACTAAAAATGAATATCCTCCTGCACCTCCTCTATCTATTTCAAACCTTACCTATCCATTTACCACCCGCCTTTTTTGTTTCATGCAGAAGAATGTGCTCTCTTTTTCTCTGGAATCATAAACGGCCTTCCCAACTTGTGCTCCCCAAATCCAAAGGGGGGATTGGACTACCTGACCCTGCCATCTTACTAGGATAATCGATTGGAATATTCACTTTACCACCAAAGCGTGGGTCCAGCTGGAACACTCTTGTTCCACTTCTCCCTTGGCATTGATCCGTGGCTTCTGACCAAACACATTCCTCAAGACCTCCTCCTGCGTCCAATAATCTGTCCTTCCCTTAAAACCTTTCGCTTAGCCTGTAAATCGGCCTCCATTTCGGATGCCCCCAACCCACTAACTTCTCTTCGCCTCAATCCGGACTTCCCTCCCGGTATGCATAAGTCCTTTCCATCAGCACATTGGCCACACAGTCAGGTTTTGGCGAACCATTTTTTTCACAAAGGTCAGCTGAAGTCTTGTTCTTTCCTGGCAAGTACTATGGGTGATCTCACCTTTCCCTTTTGGGCCTATCTTCAAATCAGACATTTTCTTCTCTCTCCTGCATATCGCCATAAAAGGGTCCGCCCTCTCACCTCCTTTGAGTCACTCTGTTCAAAGGCTGAACCACGGAAGCATTTAATATCATTTACCTATCTGCTTCTTGGAGACAGAACCTCTAATTAACTTCCCG